TCTCGCTAAATAGCTCAACAATAAACCTTAAGAAAGAACAAATATCCTTGGAGCAGAGATATTTCAGAGCAGCGAAATTACATAAATTTTAAAAAAGTTTCGAGAAATTCAGTGATTTTTTAAGACTTTAGAGAAGATTCATGATCGTTAGGAAAATTGTGGAAACTTTAGGAAGTCCGAAAAAGTTTAGAGAAGTAAAAAACAATGATGAGATGTATTGCGAGCATCAGGCTAGTTTCTCAAACTACAAAAGAACTTTAAGGCAGTTTAATTAACTTCAGGGATATTTTGGGAACTTTCAAGTTGTTCTGAAGACCTCAGAGTAGTCCTTTACATATTCAACGGATATTTCTCATGATAATTCGTTTAGAGTTCTCCTCATCATTCGCTCGTATTCTGCCGAAACTCTCATGGAATTGAAACTGGTCTGCATTCGATTGACGACGAATAAACAAACTAACAAATTATTTCATAAATTCACTTGGAACGCTTCTCTGAATTCTCTAAACAATATTACAAGAATATAGTTAGAATACTTCTCGCAACTATCCTCCTGTAACCGTCGTAGAACGTCCTCTTCCAGGACTCCTGGAAACACAGTGGCTTATGCGCCACTCTCGATAACGAGAGACCACTGGTCGTGTTTTTCTAAGGTTGCCCGGCTTAGCTATTGTTGAAGGAAACCAAATCTCTAGGGTTTTCCGAACGGTTTCGAGGTGAATTCAAACGCAATGAAAGTGAACTAAAAATGATTGCAACCGAAAACTAACGCAAAGCGGAACGTAACGCAGAAGTCACCCGGTGGACTGATTTACCACAGGGATCTTGAACGTAAATGAACATAAAAAGGTAGTCTGTGTTGAATTCATTTTATGTATATTGTCCTTCTTTTCTTAATTCTTGTGTGTGTGAGTGTGTGTGTTGTATTGAGTGTTCATGGTCATGAATAAAACATACCTGCGCAGCTAGGCGAGTAAGAGAGGTGCCACAGTCGGAAGAAGTGTTAGTTTGTTTACTAAAATGAACCATGCCCATTTTGTTATGGCAAGTTTGCTATAAGAAATGCTCCTCGTGTTTATTACCGAAATTCACATCAAAGATTGATTATTTGCTTAGGAAATCAGTTTGGCACAGCATTTGTGACCAGCATACACCTTCCGGTCGTATGAAACAGGTCAAAAATTGTCCAAATCCGCAAATAAAAATTTTTGTTTTGAATTTCTGTATAGCAAAATAGTGAACTTTTCGTGAACATTAACGGCAAAGAACTCACCAACACTGGGAGACCGTGAGTTCCTGCCCACCTGTCATCTCCCATCTCGCCTGCGCAGGTGTGCTGGCAGCTGACAGTGCGGCAAGCGGGGGGTGCACGTATGCTGTGCGATGACTTAACGGTGTAGCGACGTAGCAGGGATGTAGCGTCGACGGTGGATGCTCACGAGAACAACGGCCGAACTAAAGGTGCGGGGGAGGTTGTCGGTGGGTGTTGGTACTCTACCAGATCATCCGTTCGAGGTAGCCAGCTTCACGTACTCTGATTCCGTTACGCAACCACTATGGAACGGAATGGAACCACCCCGTCAGGAATCGCAAGGCAGGCCAACGGAAAAACCTTTCGCCCCGTTTGACTGCCAGAAACTGGCGGACCACAGAGCAGTCGCACCGGAAATATACCACGTGTACAAAAACCAGGTAAATGGCCAAGGGATTGCCTACGGGTTTCTAGCCCGTCATAAAAACGTCCGATGGACGCTCGCTCGCTGTCCAACGAGAATTAAGTTTTAGGAAAATAACATAAAATGAAATTCAATAAATTATTACCTTTTGTAGTAAACGCACAATGCACAAGGGCAGAGTATTCGCCGTTGTGATTTTAACACGCCAAAAAACTATTGTTATAAATCAAGTTAAAAAGGAACAAAAGGAAACAATTAAATTTAGTTCACTTCACCACTTTTTATATTTAGTTAATTAAATCACTATATAATTTAGAACAAATGAATTTACACCTCCGTCTAATTTAGAACACACCTTTAATTAGAATAAAATCGAAGAGAAATACCACTAAGCTTACTTCTGCTCTCTAGCCGACAATTCTTTAAAGTGCACGAGAAATTAATTTTAAAGAGCTCTCGACCTCTCAAATTCTTCGAATCATCATGTTTGACACATACCACGATTCTTGAATTATGTTGGACAAGTTAACTTAAAGGGTGATACGGTCAAAATTTGGTCAAGGGAAAACGCGTGTAAAGCGGTGAAATCGTTTATTTAAAAAATCAAATTAAATTTATTTTTCAAGTTCAATTAGTATAAAATTCAGGAAAAATATTCAGTTAGGCTTCCGCTTTTCCAAATCCGAATTGCCGGGCCTTACGCTTGACCCCTGCCATCAGATTTTGTACAGCCACCTTGTCCACCTTCTTCGCCGCAGAAAGCCAGTTTGCCTTGAACTGCTGCTCGCCCTTAGCAGTTTTTTTGGTCTTCTTTAGGTTCCGCTTGACAATAGCCCAGTATTTCTCAATTGGGCGGAGCTCTGGCGTGTTGGGAGGGTTCTTGTCCTTGGGAACCACCTGCACGTTGTTGGCGGCGTACCACTCCATGGCCTTTTTACCGTAATGGCAAGATGCCAAATCCGGCCAAAACAGTACGGAACAACCGTGTTTCTTCAGGAAAGGCAGCAGACGTTTATTCAAACACTCTTTCACGTAAATTTCTTGATTGACAGTCCCGGAAGCTATGAAAATGCTGCTTTTCAAGCCACAGGTACAGATGGCTTGCCAAACCAGATATTTCTTTGCGAACTTTGACAGTTTCATGTGCTTGAAAACATCTGCTACCTTTCTCCTTCCTTTTGCCGTATAAAACTCCTGTCCCGGAAGCTGCTTGTAGTCGGCTTTGACGTAGGTTTCGTCGTCCATTACCACGCAGTCAAACTTCGTCAGCATCGTCGTGTACAGCCTCCGGGATCGCGCTTTGGCCGTCGTATTTTGTTTATCATCGCGATTTGGAGTCACTACCTTCTTGTAAGTCGATAGTCCGGCTCGTTTTTTGGCTCGATGCATGGTTGTAGACGATACACCCAGCTTATTTGCGGCATCTCGTAGAGAGAGGTTACGGTTTCGCTTGAAACTACCGGCAACTCTCTTTGTCGTCTCAGCGGCTTCCGGTTTTCGATTTCCCTCCGATCCAGACTTCCTGGCTGTCGACAATCGTTCCCCAAACACTTTAATTACATTTGTAACGGTTGATTTGGCAACTTTTAGCGATTTTGCCAACTTTGCGTGCGAGTAGCTCGGATTTTCGCGATGCGCGAGCAAAATTTTGATACGCTGCTCTTCTTGCTTGGACGGCATTTTGACAACTAAAGAGTGAATTCCAAAATCAAAATAGGAGCAACATTCTACACACACACACCTTCAAAATGAGGGGTGTTCAGGTTTTTTTAAATGCAAAATTGAAAGAAATACGTCAAGTTGATATTGACCAAATTTTGACCGTATCACCCTTTATTGGCCATCTATTGATTCAACCATGAGCTAAAAAAGGCCTATTGCATTGGAAACGGCAATTATATTCAAATTTTAAAACTGCTATAACATGCGATGGATTGGATTTTTAGAATCGAAAAGGGGTGTTTGATGTTCTTGAATTGGAAAAAGTTCTAAACAAAAGAGATGCTCGAAATAATAGAAAAATATAATGCAACCTAACGGAGAACGTTACACTCCAAATCCAATTTTCTCTTAATTTTCCTAGGAATTGCCTTGAAATTCTTCTCAGAATTTTCATTGAATTCATTTCAGATTTCTTATTTAATCGCCCTCCTTCCTTTGGAATTTTACTCATATTGAAAATCTTCTAAAAATTCATTTTCATTTCTCCTCACAGATTTCTTAGATTTCTCTCCAAACAATTTGGCAATCTGTCGAGTCCAAAAACTTAGAGACCAGCTTTTCACAGTTCTGGACCACTGTGCATCAGTGCGGCAGGGCAGTTAAAGTTTCGCACTGTTTCCGTCTACCAGATCACATTTTCTTTTATTTTCTGAGCACGTTTTTCAGGGTAATCTAATTGTGGCACATAAAAATCGATTATTTGCATTTGCAAGCGATTCATTGATTTATGATCACTGGAGTGCAGGAGAAAGGTAGACGAATATTGGAACTGTTGTTTGGCTTTTGTTTGGGGAGAGGTGGGTGAAATGTGGATTTAACTGAAATCCTGGCATAATATAGATTGTCTATTATTAATTTGCATAAACGTTGATTGCTGAAGCTCATTGGTGATTGAAATTATACAACCAATAGCTATAATAAACCCCAATCGATCTCTGACTGTTTATCGCACATCTCACTATGATTGTTAAATATACTGTGAATAAACGCAAACATCCCAACCCGCCCCACTGTTACTTCATGTTAGGGCTACCTTCTCAAATCGCCTTCTTTTACATCCACCACCAGCACCAGCTGCCAACCCTGACGGTCAAGGCCAAGTTCGAACGACGAAAGAGCGCCACTCTGTCTCACTGAGGCATCATAAACCATTGCTACTAGTCGGGTGGGCGGGCTGGCGAACGGAAGGCATTATGCTGAATGAATCGATCGTTTATCCAGTCATGCATTACAACAACAACAGATCAACGGCAATAATGGCGATGACGAAGACGACGGCGACGACAACGACGATGGCCCAGCATAGCGAAAAGGGAGCAGCAAAGTGAGAAACGAACGAACAGAAAGAACCACATTCAGCGAAATTGGGCTTTCGAGTCGTTCCTCCCTTCCCTTCGATTCCGTTGCCATTCGTTGCATTTCTAAGCGCCCGGTCACGGCCTCGGGAATTGCAGGTTGTGGATGCCTTTTTATTCACTTAGGGAAAACATCAACGATTTATTTCTAAGCAGCTGTATAAAAGTTGATGAACGACCACCGAACGGTGGCAGTTTGAGTTTAGGTTTTTAGGAATATCGATCGATTGAGGTTCGATCCGCAGCAGGTCCGGCAGTGACTTTATAATTTGAGTGTATCAACAATGGCTTTCCTGGTGTTGGGAATGTTGATGAGTGTAATTTTGGTGAACGTTTCCGGTGCATTCAATGAGCAGTCGAAGAAAATCTGTGGGAACCGTTACAGTGTGACTTGTTTGAAGTTGGAAATTGTGTCGTTCCTGGAGCGAATATCCGATCAGAATGAATACAGTCTTGTGTCCGGTGTGAGTGTTGTCAAGGACACGGAAGCAAACGTTACCAAGACGTCGGAAATAATTGCTGAAGTTTCGAGGATTTTCCCAACGGATCCCAATAAGCGTTTGGATGAATTTCTGATCGTTAAGTTGAATGATTATTTGAAGAGTCACTCGCTGAGGCTGAAGCTGATGGACAAAGAGGCTATGGAAAAGGCGCGAGATCTGTTTGAAGGCCGGAAGGGCAAGCTAGGCAAGAAAGGAGGCTTGGAGACGATGATTGCAGCAGCTATGATGATGAAAGGTATGCTGAACCTACTACATTAATTCAATAATCCAAACCGTTGATATTTCTTCCCACAGGAACACTGGGTGCAATCGCTCTCGGAACCCTGGCCCTGATCGCTGGAAAGGCACTGATGACGGGCCTGCTGGCGTTGACCCTTGCAACAATAGTTGGTCTGAAATCGCTAACCAGTGGATCCGGAGGAGGTCACAAGTCAACCACCTACGAGATTGTAGCTAAGCCAATGTACTCACATTCCCACTCGGAACAGGACGAGATCAGCCATGGGAACACCGGTTTCAGCGGAGCCTGGGGACGATCGCAACGGATAGAAGCACCCGAGTATTTCGCCCGCAAGGGCGTATAGACAGAACCGACCGGCAGATGGCCGATCGGTGAAAGGAGAAAGCAATGGAAAAGCTTTCTCGCTCGTTTTCGTTTCTCGCTGCTTTCGCTCTCTTCACTTCGCTTCTTTCCTACAATCTTGAACTTTGGGGGAAAGCTTTCGGAATAAATTATCACCTGTTGCACTAGTCTTTCCCGTCGATGCTTTGAAGTTTTCCTCTTCAAGATTTGACTTTCATCTCTATCATTTTAGATTATCGGTCTGAAACGATCATGACAAGTTTACCGATAACCTGTTAGCTAGTAAATGTGATACATATAGATTACAATAATTTATACATTTGAATGTTATATATGAGCTGAGATCAACCGCAGATACATAAATGATACATCATGCGGAACAATTTGAATAGGGTGAATGATAGCATCGACTATACCTCTACCTATTATCGTCGGGGGTAAATTCATTCCATTTCTTGCATGAGGATTCTTCATGATTTAACGCGCTGAAGGACTATGGGGTCTATGACGATAATAGGTAGAGATAGTGCAGAAGCCGTCATATACCCTAGTTATAATTGTGATTTTATGGGCAGTATGATCATTCAAGAAATTATTTGCTTTACGGTATATTACCTATAAATTAAAAATAAACATGGTTAACTGTTGACTCTAGAGATAAGCACGAAAAACATACACCCTAAAATAAATATACCCTAAAACAATCTTGAAATTTAAAAATAAAAAAAATATTGAGTTTACTGTTAATGTAATCAAAATCTGTATTAAAAATACAATTCAAATCCGATATTCCATACATTTATATTCATTTCAACAATTTTCAATATGCATAATCACACTATGGTAAGAGTCATTATCTATCTACAGTATCGGACATAAGAGTATAAAATAGCGATTTTTTTTCTCTGCAAAAAGTTCGAAGAGCTATAATTTTATGTCTATGAAATATTGCTTTGTATCGATTCAAACTTTATATATATGTTCAGCTTACTGAGCACGATTACCTGTCACCCCAGTAGGCCTGGGTTCAATTCCAGTCGGTGCCACCGGGATTTTCTAAGGCATAACATCTCTGATCACGCCTTCCAGTAAAGCCGTAACGCATTGAAACGCCATTGAAACGCCAATTAATTCACTTCGGCCTATTGGATGAAGATAAAAATTGATTCGGTCGGAGCGCTTCTTTTGTTTTCGGAAATAATGGTTGCAAACCTTCATATCACGCGTTCTCATTGACTTCGTTCGGTAGCTTATTAACTAAAGTATCGTACCAAACGCACAATTGACTTGTTAAGTCTTAAATCATGGATTTTTTTGAAGTTTTCTGCTCGATAGGCCTAAAATGGGTGGTTTGGCCGAAGTAGTTCTCTACCCTATATCTAGCAACTTCGGTCGTTGCCAGGCGCTTCTTGCTGACGCTTTGAGTCACAATTCATAGGTATGTCACCCATTCTGAATTTGAGTGCTTCCAATCGGTGTATGTGTGTGTGTGTGTATTTCCTCCAACCCACACTGGCCGGCAGTGTTATTATGGAAAAATCTCTCTACAATGTCGCATTTATGGTCACTGTAGACAGCTTTAGTCCGGGAGTTAGAAAGTGATAGCACTATTGCATATTCAGCAACTCATTTCAGAATGTCTGGACAGTCACGCCCATTCAGAGGTTACTTTCACTTACAATAAGCCCCGCATGTATGCATCACCGTTATCAAAGGGATATTGGTATTACATACACGCTTCAAGGTTTGATAATATTCTTTTGAAACCTGGCACGCAGGGAAAATGGCTCTAATGTTGGCCTATGGATGTAAGATTGGGTCCATCGCTAAAAATCTGCGATTTATCAATTGTATTTAGATGAACGCGTCATTGGGACGGTACTAATGGTTATTTTTGGTTGCTATTGAAAATTTAGTCGATTGCTGAATGTATGGGCCCAAATTAGGGACACCTAGGCCGACATTACATACATTTCCCCTAATTAGTTTATGTTTTTTTTATGTTTTATGTTTGTTTTATACTTTTATGTTTTATTCTAAAATGTATTTGGACTGGTCTCACCATGTTATTTTGATCCTCCAATGGGTTCCGTAGTTTTGATTTTCTCTAAGCTTTGTATCTCATTTCGTGATGCACTTTTGTCGTCGTAATAGGGTAACCAACTGATTTTGGACCCCTAGAGGAAGTGAGATCACGTTTATGTCAAAATAATATTATTTGTTTATTATTATTATGCAATTTACATGCGGTTGTGTTCGAAACCCTAATAAAAATTGTATGGTTAATTTGCTTAACGACGTGTTCTGGGTATCATCCAAACCATTTGTGGAATAGTTCAATGATTTGGGTTATCGTTCGTTTATGGTCATTTTTTATTAGGGAAGCTACTCATCTTGGATGTAAAATGTCACTAGATGTTTTATTTATTGATATATACTCGAAATATAATTCTTTTCACATCATGATATTCACATATTTTGGACCCTTCCACTTGATTTTGGACAGTGTCCATAATATATTTTGGACACACTGAATGGGAACGAATATATTTTGGACATGCTGAAGTTCTTTCAACCTATGAGCCTAAAATTAATTACGACGGTCACTTCTTCCTATCTCGCATTTGTTAGGTCCGTCTAGGTGGGAAATTTTTTAAAGAAGGTGCCGTAAAACGGGGTGAAATGGATCAGCGGGGTGAATTTGATCGCTGAGTATACCCAATATTGTACTTATGCATAATATTTTTACAATGTATACAAAGATACATTCGTACGCTTAGTAACGAAAAACATGTTACACATGAAAAAATATCACGAAAAATTTCAGCGATCAATTTTGCCCCGCTGATCAATTACACCCCGTTTTACGGTATGCATAAAAGTTAACCCCCCGTTACTCGCGCTGTTGTACTTTGTACAACACATATGAGTTTTCCATTGCCATTTTGTTGCTGCCAATCGATCTGAAACCAACTTGTATTCTTCAAAAAACTTGTTTTGAACTAAAAAAGCTAAACTTTGATTACAATTAACCCCCAAAATGCGGATAATAGACAAAATGTAAATGGAAACCGCGTAAACGGTGTCCATACTACGTGGGATTGACTTAATTGGTTACAACATGGAATATCTCGAGATCCTGACCAGATAGAAAGTTGCTGTCTTGAGCAAAGTTGTTCAGGAGGTCAAAGTCTATTTCTTAGTGTACAATAGTTCAGAATTATCTCACTTCGTGGTGCTAGTATACATGTGAAATTCTCGTGTATAAAATATCTCTAGATCCTGACCAGATAGAAAGTAAATGCCCTCAGCAAAGTTGTTCAGGAAGTCAAGCTCTTTTCGTTGGTGGAGTAGTTCAGAAATTTCACACTACGAGGCGCTAGTGTATACGTGTAATTCTCGCATATACAATAGCTCGAGTTCTTGACCAGCTAGAAAGTTACTGTATTGGGCAAACTTGTTCAGGGGGTCAAGACTTTTCGACTGGTAGACAGTAGTTCAGAATTTTCTCACCACGTGGCGTTTGTATACATATACACTTCTCGCATATGATATATCTCGAGATCCTGACCAAATAGAAAGTTACTGTCTTTGAAAAAGTTGTTCAGGAGGTCAAAGCCTATTGCTTGGTGTAGAATAGTTCAGAATTTTCTCACTATGTAGTTCTATATACACGTTAAATTCTCTCATATAAAATATCTAGAGAGCATGACAAGATAGAATGTTACTGTCTTGGGCAAAGTTGTTCAGGGGATCAAAGCCTTTCGGCTAGTGGACGGTAGTTCAGAATATTTCACTTCATGGTACTAGTATATACGTGCAATTCTCGCATATGATATATCTCAAGACCTGCTAAAAATGTACTGTAATCGGCAAAATTGTCCAGGAGATCAAACCCTATCGTTGGTGGAAAGTACATAATTTTCTCACTAGGTGACGTTGAAAGACACGTGAAATCCTTGCATATAAAATATCTCTGAATGACCCGCATACTAGTGCCACGTAAAGGGAAAATTCTGAATTACTGTACACCAACGAAAAGATCCTAACATCCTGAACAACTTTGCCGAAGACAGTAACTTTCTGTCTGGTCAGGATCTAGAGATATTTTATATGCGAGAATTCATCATGTATACTAGCGTTGCAAAGTGAGAAAACTCTGAATTTAAGTCCACCAGCAAAAAGGCCTTGACTTCCTGAACAACTTTGCCGAAGACAGTAACTTTTTATATGATCAGGATTTCGAGATATTTTATATGAGAATTTCACGTATATACTAGCACCATATAGTGAAAAAATTCTGAACTATAGGCTTTGAACTCCTGAACAACTTTTTCGAAGACAGTAACTTTCTATCTGGTCTGGATTTCGAGATATATCACATGCGAGAACTTCACATGTATACTAGCGCTATGTAGTGAGTAAATTTTGAACTACTGTCCACCAGCAAAAAGGTTATGATCTCTAGAACTATTTTGGCAAAGACAGTAACTTTCTATCTGGTCACGATCACGAGATATTCCATGTTGTAACCAATTAAGTCAGAACCCTCGTAGTATGGACACCATTTACGCGGTTTCCATTTACATTTTCTCTATTATCCGCATATTTTGGGGGTTAACTGTAATAAATATTTAGCTTGTTTAGTTAAAAGCAAGTTTTTTGAGGAATACTCGTTGATTTCAGATCGAGTGGTAGCACGGCTGCAAAATGGAAATGGAAAACTCACACTGTTGTACAAAGTACAACGCGTGAGTACTTGTGTTGCAAAAGTTGGCGCGAGTAACGGAGGAAATATAATATAACATAAGGAAACAACTGATCATACCATAAAAAAAAATCATTCAGAAGTAAATCTTAATACGGAGACCTGACTCTATGCTTGCAGTCCATATTATTTTTGTATGGGCTGTTCATAAACTACGTAGACGGTTTTTGAGAGATTTCAACCCCCCCCCCCTTCCGTAGAACACAAAATTTAAAAAATTGTATGGACCGTAG